GTTCAAAAAGAAGGAAAATAAGAAGATAAGTTGAGTTAAAGCCTAATAAGACTCCTTCCAAGAAGGATTCTACACCTGCCAAGGCAAAGAAGACAACCAAAAACAAAGAAAATTCTAGTAAGAAGAAGAAAGTTGTATCTACTAGTGAGAAGTCAGGATGAAAGAAGAAAATGACCCCTAAATTAAAGAAAAACTGCTCCTATTGGGAAGAGGATGTTGGAAAAATCTAGAGGATACCATGGTAAACCCTCTCAAGAAAAATAATTAAATTATTGCTGGAAAGAAGATTCCCACATATGTTCTTGTTGGGCCTTTAGACAACATGTCATTTCACTGCGAGGAAAGCATTTTGAAATGGAAATATGTGTATCACATGATGTAAGTGCTCTTGATTGGCTGCGTTTTATGGCAAAATATTGGTATATGTATGAATGTCATGTCTGATGTTGTTACATTCATAATATAGACTGTGCAGGGTAAGTTAACTAAGCTAACTATAAGTTAAGCTGGATGTTATACTCAATGTTATGACATAGGTCGTATGACATCAAGCGGAAGTTTGTTATTCTGGTAGCTAAAACTCAGGAAACAACTCAGAAGCTCAAGCTGGAATGCAGGAGACATTTTAGACGCCCTAGGGAACTAATATGTACCTGTTTAAATTGGCAAACGTGCAGAATACAAAAGAGAGGTTTTATGATGGATAAAACCTAATATATGCGCCCAGGCCCAAGGACTGATCTGCTGCTATAAATAACATGAGAAGCAATCCTAGAAGGCAGCTGTTAGAGATAGAGAAGCAGAGAAATCACCATAGTGGTTTAGAAGTGAAGAGATTGTTCTTCACGATTGTGTCTTAAGAATACTTGTAATCCAAGCAACTGTGATTGCATTGGTTAGGTAGGTTCTAGGTTGTAGAGCACTCGAAGTTGTTAAGCAAGAGTGTGTGTCACTTGATCAAAGCTTTGAAGCAAGATCAAGGTGTGTGTGTAGTTGAAGTGTCTCTTCATTCTACTATTTAATTTATAACTGGTTGATATCACTGGTGTGTGATTGTAGGGAGTGAGTGGGTATACTCAGGTCTAGAGTGTCTTTAGGTTAAATTTTCATTGGGTAGGTTTTATGTGAGGAGTGCAAACTGGAGGTTTGACTCTGAATTAATTCTACTGATAGTGAAATTTCTCCATGGCTTGGTAGCCCCCAAATGTAAGTGTGTTGCACTGAACTGGGTCAACAACCAACTGTGTTATTTACTGCTTCATAATTACTTCATAATAGTAGGTTTGTAGTGAATGTCATAGTGGATGTTATAACTTCTGTTAGAACATCCATCGCGGGCTGGCCAGAATTTTCACATGAGGATAACCCATGAAAGGGAGAGGTCAAAGGAAGATTTGAAATGTGAAGAAATTGTTGAGCTCCTCGTAGATGCTCAAATCATGAAGATTGTGTCATATAATAATCCTGCTAATGGCTGACACAATCCTCCTTCTAATGGTACAAAATGTAAGCTATAGTTAAATTTATAGTTAAATTTAAGATCAGTAGTATAAGGAAACCTCAACAATTTTGAAGAGTAAAATTTTTAACTGATAATATGTTTATAAACGTATAGAAATTGTTGAGCTAGAAAACCAAGAAATTCGTAAAAATAATACTCAAGGAAAGTCCATAAAAATAATACTGACAGTTTTCGAAGCTTTGCCCGCAGACGAAGAAATCGTCCATAAAAACTTCCATGATGATGTCTAGAAAATCTGCAAAAATTTCCATCATGCATCTTTGGAAAGTCATAGGAGTATTGCATAGTCCGAGCAACATTCGTCGATAAGCGAACTTACCATAGGGACATGTAAACGTAGTTTTCTATTGGTCTTCGAGGTGAATCAAGATTTGAAAGAATCATGAGTACCCATCTAAATAGCAGAAATCAAAGTGCCTAGCCAGGCGTTCTAACATTTGGTCGATAAAGGGTAAAGGGAAATGGTTTTTACGGGTAGCTTTGTTTAATTTTTGATGATCAATGCACATTCTTCATCCTGTTTCCACTCGCTTAGCTTCGAATTTTAGATTTGTTAGCGCTTTGGACATGAAATGTACTATATGACACCCTCCTCTCGGATGAGGATGATGCAAACTATTTTGACAAACACGCTAGATAGAGGAAGAGAGTTTCTCCAAGCAATGGTCCGAACATAGCTGGCGGGAGAGATAAAGCTACTTTTAGTGATGCAAACAATCGCTCACATTCTAGGGTCCAATCAAACTGTATTTTTTCCTCAACAACCTGTAGAATGGTAATGCATGCTAGGCTGAACTCGAGATGAACCTATTGAATGCAGTACATAATCTCAATCAACTTCATTATACTCTTTTATTTAGTCAAAGTCTCAATCTTAATAACCAAATCACATTTATCATAGTTGGCTTCTATGTTCTTCTTTATTAAGTAAAAACATGAACATAAAACATTATAAGAACCATTATTCGATGAAAAATATTGAAGGGGAAAAAGTTAAATTATGATATATTTATGAGAATCCCCGACATATTTAATCCCAAAAAAAAGATAAACATATTATTGTCTTTATTTTCAATAGGAAGCTTATACAAAAATAAGCTTATCGTAATGGACTAAAAATCCAAGCCCAATAAACGACATCAGAACAAAACAATTTGGAGGAAATGTTCCTGCCACATCCAAATTAAACCTGATATCTGACATTTTTTCATAATGGCAAAAATATTTTTATCAAAATTTAACTAAAAAGAGCGAACAAAAAAAATCGGTGGTACAATTCGATAAATCTAATACGTTTTGTAATTTTTCGATTTTTTAAAATTAAAAACAAACCGAAATTAACACAACTGAATTTTTCGAAAAACTCATAAATTAAAAAAAAAACGATAGTGCATTTTGAAAAATTTAATAAAAACTCATAGTTTTTTTTTTTTTGAAAAATTCAGTAATGTATTTTGAAAAATCTTGTAAAAACTCATAATTTTTTTTTAAAATCGATAAAAGCTCGTAGAATTTTCAAAAAATCCAATAAAAATCATAATTTTTTAAAAAATACGGTAAAACTCGCAGATTTTTTGAAAAATCATGAAGATTGCAGGTTCGAATCCTGCCCCCGCCATGTCTTGATTTCTAAAAGTCTAAACTTGAACCCTAGTTTCCATCAAGCAGAAGCAATACGGACCGAGGGAAGAGGGTTGTTTTCCCGGTGATCCCGAGCCCCTTCTTCTACCCCTTTCTTTTGGTAGCTACCGATTACTTCACCAAATGGGTTGAAACTAAGCCATCTAAGGTCTGTCTTCCCCGTTTTCCCCTCCTTGCGTGCGAGAGACTTCTATGCCAGCTGCCGATTCTGTTATGAAAGAAAGCGACAAACTCATCTTACAGGTGTTTCCTAATGAGGGATTTTAAGGGATTAGGGTTCTCCTTTATCTCCTCCACCCATCCGCGGAGGGTTTCAATATAAATCTCCGCAGATACTTTCAGATCGCAAGACATAATGTTCTCTGCGACATTGGAATAGATTTCTTCCATTTCCAAAGGTAAAAACTCGTAGATTTTTTAAAACAGTTCGATAAAAATTTATACTTTTTAAAAATCTAGTAGATAATGTATTTGAAAAATTTGGTAATTCAAATTCGATAACTTTTTAAAATTTTTTTAAAATTTCATAAATTCTCCAAAGACCCAATAAAAATTCAAGAAAATTTTCGAATATCCACTAAAAATTCAAAAAATTTCCAAAAAAAAAAAAAGTCATTTTTCAAAAACTTAAAATATCACAGTGTTATAGTAAAAACAAAGGGGTGTGGGTAGGGGTGGTCATGGATGGTTAATGTCCAAAACCAATCCATAACCATAAATAATCCATATATTACAACCGGTTATTAAAACTAATTCTAATAACCGGTTTTTATTTTTTAAAATGGTTATAAATCGGTTATATCCATATCAAATTTTATAATTAGTTTTGATTTAATTTTATTTTAAAATTGATTTTTTCGAAATCATAATATTTTTTTAAAAAAAAATATTGATGTTAAAAAAACAATAGTTATTTTAAAATTTTAAAAAATTATTTTTAAAAAATTTGTTAATTACTGAAAAAAATTAAAACAATATTTTTTTTCAAAAAAATTAAATTTTTACTTTTTATTCAGATTTTTTCATTTGGGGTATGGAGTTGGAAAAGTTATTGAGATGGTGGCATTGGAATCTTTAGGTAAAGGGTTTGATTTGGCTAGTGATTTTTGTTTAAGTTTGCTAAGGGAATACATGAGGGTGCTCGTGATAGTAGAAAAATGTTGGTGGTGATTATGGATTAATAAAATGTTTATTTAAGATTAAATGTAAAATTTAGGGATATTATTAATAAGGATACCATTTATGCAAAATTATTGGAGAGGTACAAACAATATTTTAAATGATGTAAAATTCAAACATACTAAAACTCTCAAAAATAAGCTTTTAAAATTTAATTTTAGAATTGGAACTCTTTGTTAAATTAGCATTAAAGTTTTTAAAATATTGATGTTAAAAAATCATTAGTTATTTTAAAAGTTTTTGAAAAAAAAATTTTATTTACTGAAAAAAAATTAAAACAATATTTTTTTTAAAAAAAAATTTAAAAATTTTTTCGAAAATATTTTTTTTTCAAAATAAAAATATATATTTTTTTAAAAAAATTGAATAATTCAGTTTTTATTTTAGATATGGATGTCTAAATTATAGATTTGGTTAAAACCATATTAAAAATATATTTTAAATATGGATTTGGTTAAAACCATATTAATAATTAAGCAAATTTTAATAATTAAATTTAAATATAAATATGAATTATTTAAATAACCGATTTATTTGAACACCCCTAGACGTGGGGTGTCGGATTCAATTTGAGAGTGGCAAGGAAAGATTCCTCAACGATTTGCCGTTTAGGATTTTATCGAATATAGTTGCCATCATCACTGTCTTCTTCAACCACATGGCGATAATTGAACTACATCCCAAATTCTTCTTCTCTCAAATCCCAAACCCCAAACCCCTCACAAACCCTAATTTCAATCCCAAAATCACCTTATCCCATCGAATCCTCAAACCAATCGCTCAATTTTCCCACCAACCAATAACCACCACTCCAAACCGCGGCTTAATTTTCCGGGAAAAGGTTCTATACCTCGAGAAACTCAAAGTAAACCCAAAAAAAGCCTTCAAACTAAACCCTACACTCCGAACCTGTCCTCTACAAACCCTAAAATCGGTTGAACAATGCCTTTCATCAATCGGCATACACAGAAGCCAAATGGGTCGAATCCTCGACATGCTTCCTGCACTTCTCACGTGCGAACCATACAATGACATTTACCCCCTTCTCGATTTTCTCCTCAACGAGGTTAAAATTCCTTACCACGATGTTCAAAAATCAATCTTGCGGTGTCCTAGGTTGTTGGTGAGTAGCGTAGAGAATCAATTAAGACCTGCGCTTTGTTTTTTGAGGGAATTAGGGTTTGATGGGCCGCATTCTCTCACGTGCCAAACTACTTTGCTTTTGGTTTCGAGTGTTGAGGGCACCCTTTTGCCTAAAGTTGAGTTTTTGATGGGTTTGGGGTTCACACGTGTGGAGGTTTCGAATATGATTGTTAGGTCCCCTGGGTTGTTGACTCATAGTGTGAATAATAATTTGGTTCCGAAAGTTGAGTTTTTCTTGAATGAGATGAATGGTGATGTTGCTGACCTGAAGAGGTTTCCTCAGTATTTCAGTTTTAGCTTGGAAAAGAGGATTATGCCGCGGCACGCTAAGTTAGTTCGGCTTGGATTGTCGCTTCCTCTGTATGAGATGTTGCGGTGTAGTGATGGCGCGTTTGATTCTAGGTTGTTTGAATTGCGGTTAAGTAAACTCGAGAGAAGATTAGAGTAATTGTAGCTGTTGTTTTTGTAGGATAAGAGAGAGATATATTATCAATTCTTTTGCTAGGTTATAACAATTGTATGTGCATAGCTTGTAAGCTGTGTTAGAGAAAGAACTGAATAACAATGAATATGTGATGTTTACTAAATAATGTATCCCCTTATCTGACACTGATAATGCTTGCTTGACTACCCTGCAAGTAAATTCAGTGAATTGAACTGTGGTTAATTAAGATCTCATAATAGATTTTCCAAATTAAACCATGATTAAATAGAGTTTGAAATTGTTTTGTCAAAATGAATTGTGATTAATCTACACAGGATTTCTAAAAATAAAAACTTAAGACGGTGTTGTTTGAAGTCATCATTTGGCGATGTTCACATAACTGTGTTCTTTTGTTAGTCTTGTTAAGTTTTATAAGCATCATCAACCGGGGATAGAGGGTTTCAAATAGTGAAAATGAGTTTCTTTGCTGCAATTGTGAAATGAAGTTGATAGTGTAATACTCTGTAAGGAAAAGTGCTTTCTGGATGCTAATGTGCATGAATAGTTTCTGCCAATAATTTTTGAATTTTATGGAATGTAATATCGTTTGATAATTGTTCCATAACTGTGGAGACTCACTGATGTGTATATGTAGTTTGTAAAATAAAAATCAAGTTTCATCTTTGAAATGGTGTAGTGAACTGGTGTTGCTAAGAAAAAGAAAAGAATAATATCCGGTAAGGATTTGGTATCAATAAGCTCTTATTGATAGGTAAATTGGTACTAGGGGTGTGAACAGTTCACAGCAACGAAAGGAGGTTTTGTCCCGCACCTTTAAAAGTAAACTCGACCACCTATAATTTTTCATAATATTAAAAATATCCTTAGTCAAAAACTGCGCTTTAAAAAATTCGGTAGTCTAATAAAGAAATTCGGTGTGTATTTTTATCGATTTTTTTTTCAAAAAATTCAATTTGTGTCAAAATTATCGACATTTTAAAAAAATCATTAGATTATTTGATTTTTCCCATAACTTTGAAAACACCGATAGTGTTAATTTATTGGTTTTGGCAAAAAAACTTATGAAATTATTGGTTTTTTTAAAAACTTTCGGTGATTATCGATTTTTTCCATTACACTGAAAATTGACAGTGTTAATTTTCAACAGTTGAGATTTTACTGACACTTTTGTAGGGTTGTGATTGCATAGACAATTTTGTGTAGTACATAATAATTTCAAAGCTGTATAGATATACATATGTTGGTAAAAAAACATCATAGGATGCTTCAATATTTTTTTTCCAGTATGCTTCAATATTGGTATGCAACGTTTGTGTACTTCAATAGTGTGAAACCTTCAGTCGATTTTGGGTTCACAGAGGACACCCATCTTGATCTTCTGAAATCCAAAATGGATAATCTTGTACACCATACTGACAACAAAGAAGTGGTTAAGATCGAGTACCGTTCACCATATAATGAAGAAAAGATTAGGTTCAGTAAGTTTGAGATGAAGACAAATGAAGATTTAAAAGTCATGTGGATCGCATATCACCGATACAAAACAAAGAGTCTGATCGAGGTGGATGCGACAATTGCCAAATCTATCGACAATATTATCAAGTCGTTGAAATGTCCTAAATCATCTAGTAGTGCTTAAGTTTTATCCATGTTATTTTCTTGTTAAGTTATGTTATGCAATATCCGTGTTAAATACTGTAATGCTAATTTTCTTCCAATGAAATTTTAAGACAAAATAAGATAAGATGTCAATAAAATACAAATAATGTCAGCAACATAAAAGATAAACAAACTAATAAAATCTATACAGGTTCACCATGAGCAATGTGTACTATTTGCGGTGCCATAACATACATCTCACCATCTAGGTTTGTCAAACCCAAGAGGTCATCTGAAAGAAGTGCTATCCTCTACATCCGTTGCTGGTCAGTCATACCAAATATAGACAGTGACATGTCATCTGATGGTCCTCTATTACGGAAAGGTCTAGCATCATCAACAGACCGAATATGTGGGATGATACGAGGGTGTGATATTGTAGTGTACCACCCTAAGTAACCATCCTTACATTTCTAAGGAAACTGTACCTCTATTACATTATTTCTAATAGCCATGACATTTCTGACAATGTTAGACATAAACAATCTATCAATGCCCTCAGATGGAACAATAAAGACTGGTCGAGGGATGCCCTGAACATACCCAAACTGGCACAAATACCTCTTAGGTAAATATCTAGCCACTGAACTCTCATATTGCAGATAATTAAAAAATAGGGCAGTGTCATCAAAGTCACGATTTACTGTATGTTCTATATATGGTATCCATGTGACGCCGTTTATGGTCAGCGCATCGATCCTCTGCATGTATCTTGAAGACCTCTAGATGTGAATGTATGACTCTCTATTTGGTGGCACCTGGGGAGTCACTAATAAGAACACAAACACACTGTCACAAATAGACGGGAAATGCTCGTATATCTAACACCTACAGAAGAAGAAATTACATAAACATAATATCTTTGATAAATAAGAACTAAATAAATAAAACATAATAAGTATTCATACTAAAATAAACTCATATAACCGACAAGTTGCCTTGTCTTATAGACAATCGCCTCTCCAAGTGTAGTATATAGTACCATAAAAGCAACACACCTCATGCCCAATCGACATGCTCAAGCTTAGTAAATAAGGATATGTATCTGACATCAATGTATATATGGGATTTATTTGCTAGGATAATGTATCCTACCAGATGCAACATGTACACCCTAGTGGCTTCCTCATATAAAGAGTGCTCCACTAGTGTATGATACTTCTCTTAGAGCCAAGAGTGACAAAAGTGAGACCCCATGTTAAATCTAAACTCCTTCATGACCATGGACTTGGTAGCCTACAAGTACTACTTAGCCGCACTACATGCAAGCTTTTGGTTAATGAGAGGAGCGGTAAATAAGTTACCTACAAGGGGGACATGGAAGAGACATGAGACATCATCCATGATAATTGTCATCTCACCAAATGGAAGATGAAATTAGGGTTTCTCCTTATGTCATCGCTCAACAAACACGGACAGTAGTGGACCATCAAGTATAGTCAGCAAACAGTCTGCCAACAGAAGCAGACCGAGATCAACAACAATCTCTCTAACCTCATCAAGCATCTAGACATCAGAGAATTTCTTCAACCCCCCCTATGGGTGGGCATCTTCAACGAAACATGGTCTTATAACAATTAAAGTATAAACTATAAGTTATTTTCAATTAATTAATAATAAATAAATTTTTTTAAATATTTTATTTAATCCTCTCTCAACCATAATCTAAATGCCACATGATCGACATACATGGTGAGCAAGGTACGGTCATTAGGACCTCCAAGTTGGTTTTAGTCTAAGCCCCTACCTTCTCATCATTACTGAGCCGTCACCTTAGTGTCAGCCTGAGTCTCTACCTCAATATTAGCCCCCACTACCTTTATGTCAGTCTGAGCTTCCACTTTAGTGTCAACATGAGCCTCAGCCTGAGTCTCTATATCTTCATGAGCATCAAGCTCTTCGTCAAGATCTCTACCCTGTCAAGCTCTACCTCTTCTAGTCTAGAGAGTATGAGGTGCCAGTGACTTCTCAACCATCCTCCCCTAGTGAGAACCGCTAGGGATTACTTTACCCACTAAAATATGAAAAATCCTCCATGTCATCTGCCCTTACATGATAGCTCTCTACAACTGCTCTCTCAGCTCTTTCAATATGTATAGAAGCAATCGTGTCGCATTGTCCTTTGGTCCTCACTACATAAAAAAAACAAAGAAATATGACATACCAGTTTTTTAAAATTCGAAAAAATATGGATTTATTGGAGTTTTGTAAAATTCTGTTACCAATAACCTATTTATCAGACTAAAAGAAATCATTTAATTTAATTTTTTCCCCAAAATATTAAATGCCAACTATCCAATTCGAAATGCCACTTGTCCAGTTTTTAAGAGGAAACAAAAAAGTTTTCTCCTTGTGCATATATATATATATATATATATATATATATATATATATATATATATATATATATATATATATATATATATATATATATATATATATATATATATATATATATATATATATATATATATATATGCACCCTTCTCGAATCTTCTCCCATATAAGAACATCTAAAGCAACTAACCTTTCTTCGTCCAAATTGACTAAATCATCTAGAATCATTTTGTAATAATGGTCAGATGGGATTTCGACATGCCTTTGGATTCTAACTGACTCTAATTAAATTTCAATAGGAAAGACTGCATCATGACCAAATGTTAGTCGAAATGGGATATAGTTAGTTCCTCCTCTAGAAGACGCTCGATAAGTCTTAAGTGTTTGGTCCAAAGTCTTATGCTAATTTCTTGGCTTTTGACCCACATGTGTCTTAATTAGGCCAATTATGATCTTGTTTGTTGCTTCCGATTTGACCATTTGCTTGAGTGTAGTAAGGCATAAATGTTAGAAGTTTAACTCTTGTTCTTGAAGGAAATTCAACTATATTTCGACTAGTGAAAACTGAACCTTGGCTAATGGTTAAAGTTTCAGAAATTCTAAAACTATAAATGATATGACTCTGAATAAAATTGATCACAACTTCTTGATCAACATTCGTCAAAGGTATGACTTTGAACCATTTAGTAAAATAATATGTCCTTACTAAGACGTACCTATAACTTTTGGATGATGCATGACGAATTTCACCAACTAAATTTAACTTCCAACTTATAAAAGGCCAAGGCTTAAAAATAGAATGTAATTCACTTGCAGGGACATGTTGAATACCTACATGTTGTAATAATGGTCAGATGGGATTTCGACATGCCTTTGAATTCTAACTGATTCTAATTAAATTTCAATAGGAAAGACTGCATCATGACCAAATGTTAATCGAAATGGGATATAGTTAGTGCCTCCTCTAGAAGACGCTCGATAAGTCTTAAGTGTTTGGTCCAAAGTCT